AATTCATAACTTGAATCTATTCATGAGGAAAGAATCAGAAAAACCATAATGAAGAATATTCTATAAAAACCAAACCAAACCAAACAACAAAAGTCAAACAAAAAACTGCCCTATAGTCTTCAAATGACAAATGACAGTGTCATAAGAAACAAAGGAAAGCAGAGGGACTATTTAGAAAGATCCAAGAGACATGACAATTATGCAATACATAGGGGCCCACCGGTGGCTCAGTCAGTTAAACAGCTGACTCTTGATTTCTGCTCAGGTCACGATCTCAGGGTCCTGGGATCCAGCCCCACATCAGGCTCTGCTCAGTGGAGAGGCTGCTTGAGGATTCTCTCTCTCCCTCTACCCCTCCCCCTGCTTGCACACTTTCTCTCAAATCTTTAAAAAAAATAAAATGCAATATGTAATTGTGGATCAATACATTTTGGAAACAATACATTTTGCTCTAAAAGAGTATTAAAATTTGAACAAAGACTACATTTTCTGTATTTGATAATTGTACTATGGTTATGTAAGAAAATCAGAATAAGAAGTTCTAACAAATTTAGGAAAAAGACTGTTGGTTCTGTAACCATAGATCCAAGTTGCAACCAGAATCAGTTTTAAACACATTCAGTGGATAAACACAGATCATCTTGGTGAACCTGCTTTTGCAAGCTGACCAATCATCATCAATTGGGAAAGTCAGCTGAGCAGGGCTGGATTCACTCCAAAAAAGATGATTTAGAGACCAACCAATTAACAGTGGTCACTAGCGTAATCAAGCTTTAAGTGTAGTGCCAACTGATCTATGCCTCTGAAAGCACACCCATCTTGAATCCCATGCTTCCCAAAGACCCAGCAATTGGCTTTGCTCAGACTTTGCCTGACCAATATTCATCCTTTTATTTCAGAAATTGAGTGGTAGTCTCATTATCCATCGGTAATTCTGGAGTTCCCATAGGTCATTTTGATAATTCTTTGTTGGCAGCATTTCAGGTAATATTTGGGGCCAATAGTTAACTGGGCCCCTTGTGCCCAAACTGTCAGTCAGGTCAGCTTTGAGATGAGTCAGTCTCAATAACCATTTGAGCTCTTTTTTCATTGAATTTTTGTTATTGCATTTATTCTTCTAGTTTTTGTAACCAAGAAGTTCTTTGCATAAGATCATTAGGTTTAGGGTGCCTGGGTGGCTCAGTGGGTTAAGCCTCTGCCTTTAGCTCAGGTCATGATCTCAGGGTCCTGGGATCGAGCCCTGCATCGGGTTCTCTGTTCAGCAGGGAGCCTGCTTCCCCCTCTCTCTCTCTGCCTGCCTCTGTGCCTACTTGTGATCTCTGGCTGTCAAATAAATAAATAAATTCTTTAAAAAAAAAAAGATCATCAGGCTTAGGTCTTTGTTCTGAGTAATTAGACCTTTCGGATTGGAATAACACCATTTGGTAATTACACCAAGGTGTTTAATGAGGTTATGAGACCTTTTGGCTTCTAAATCTACCATTTGAAAATGTTTGCTGTAAAACTGCTTATTCTCCTGCTACATGCTTTGGTTTTTGTTTTGCTTTGTTTTAATATATTTTTAAAGATTTTATGTTTAAGTAATCTCTATACCCAATATCAAAAGTCGCTTGCTCTACTGGCTACGCCAGTCAGGCACCCCTGTTTTGCTTTTCAGAAGTTTAAAAATATGTATTTTTAAAGTTCATTTAAAAACAATAGTAAAGCCATTGTATGTTAACATAAAAAGTATATGTAAAAATAAATAACAAGATTTTATGAAAAAAAATAGGAGCATAGCATTGTTTTACCTTTTTGTAGGACTAAATAGAAAATAGTTGAGTTCTCGTAAAGGCTTCTGCCTTTAATTTATTGTGTTCTTGGGATGCCTGGGTGGCTCAGTTGGTTAAGCCGCCGCCTTCGGCTCAGGTCATGATCCCGGGGTCCTGGGATGGAGTCCCGCATCGGGCTCCTTGCTCAGTGGAGAGCCTGCTTCTCTCTCTGCCTCTGCCTGCCGCTCTGCCTGCTTGTGTTCTCCCACGCTCACTCTCTCTCTCTCTCTCTCTCTCTGACAAATAAATAAATAAATAAAATCTTAAAAAAAATTTATTGTGTTCTTTTTTGAAGACAGGAAGAAAACGCATCCTGGCACAAGCATGTAGTTGGAAGAGGGAGCACTATTGTAATAGCTTTTACAGACAATTATGGATATTCTTCTCTGCTAAAACACTAGAACTTGACAAGCAATAGTTTCTTAAAGATTAATTGCTTTTTATTGCTAGATATTCCATTGAATGGATAGACCACATTTATAAATGGATATACCACACTTATAAATTGCTTATCCATTTATAAGTTGATGGAAATTTGAAGTTAAATTAAAATCCTGATCTAGGGGCACCTGGGTGGCTCAGTCGGTTAAGTGTCTGCCTTTAAGGTCATGATCCTCCAGTCCCTGGGATCCAGCCCTGCATTGGGCTCCCTGCTCACTGGGGAGCCTGCTTCTTCTCCCTCTGCCTCTGTTCCTTCTGGCACTTGAGCTTTCTCTCTCTCTCTCAAATAAATAAATAAAATCTTAAGAAAATCTTTTTGAACATATACGGTAAATTCTGAATGCCTCAAGGAGAAATAAACTTCATTTTCTTTGGTTTAATAGAACCACTGACATAGTCGAAATATTGAATAATCCAATGTCTTGGCTATATTGAGACATTATCAAAATATTCTTGGGGCACCTCAGTGACACAGTTGGTTAAGCATTAAAATTGGTTTTGGCTTAGATCATGAGCTCGTGGTTGTGAGACCGAGCCCCACATTGGGGCTGAGTGCACTTGGGATTCTCTCTCTCCCTCTCCCTCTCCCTCTGCCCACCCCCTCAAATAAACACATCTTTTTTAAAAAAGAAGAAGAATATTCTTTGATCTCTGTGATACAAGATTGTGTAGAAAATAGTCAGCATAGCAGACCTAAAGTGCTATGCTTGGAAAGGCCTGTTTGCGAGGTTGGCTCATGGCCGGCATCAGGGAACTTAGGTTTGGGGAGGGTTCCCATTGTTTACTGATGAGACTGGCTCACTGAAATTTTGTACAAAGAATATGTGTTTTGCTGAGTACTTGCTTTTCCTTTTGGGAGTCTGGAATTTGGGTACATGCAAGGGGTGTGCCTACACGACTAGCTCCCTGTAGAACCTGGGGCACTGAATCTTTAATGAGCTTCCACATTTGGCACCATTGCACACGTGTTGTCACAACTCATCACGAGGAGGATTAAGCATGTTCTGTGTAGCTTTACTGGGAGAGGACCCCTGGAAGCTTGCATCTGGTTTCTCCCAGACCATGTCCAGAAGCTTTTTCTCTTTACTGATTTTGCTCTGTATCATCTATACCCTTTCAGCCACGAGTACTACTACTGTACACGGAGTCCTGCGAGTCTTCCTAGTGAATCATTGTCCCAGGCAGTGGTCTTGGGGGATCTTTAATCCAAACACCTACAAATGCAGTAAGTAAGATCTACTTTTCGAGAAAAATATACTGCAACTTTTACACACAACCAGAATACAGTGCATCTTGGTGTGAAAACTCACATACTATATGTGATTTAGAAAACTAACCCTCCAAATAGCTATGGTTCCAGAATTCCTATGGATGAAAAGACTCCACAGACTGGACTGGGCATTTTAACTTGGAGCAGAGCACATAAGCATACGGATTGATTTTTTTCCCCCCGGAATTACATAAATCTTTCTTCTTTTTTTGATAACTTTTTTTTTTTTAAGATTTTGTTTATTTAATTTGACAGAGAGAGACACAGCCAGAGAGGGAACACAAGCAGGGGAAGTGGGAGAGGGAGAAGGAGGCCTCCAACTGAGCAGGGAGCCCGATGAGGGCCTTAATCCCAGAACCGTGGGATCATAACGTGAGCCGAAGGCAGATGCTTAATGACTGAGCCTCCCAGGCGCCCCTAAATCTTTCTTTTTGTACAAACATGAATATGTTAAACCATGCTCTAGGGACTTTAACTCATTAAAAAAAAATTACCTACAAGACCTATCCCTTAAGGAAGCAGCAAAATAGAGGGTGGGTAGATGGGGGGAAAAAAAGAAAAAAATAAATAAATCTCCTTGCCTTAGAGCAATTACAGGCTTCAACAAATAAGTCAAAATACCCTCAGATCTCATACTAGCCTTTATGTCTATGTTGCTACACACGATAAATCACTGTGGCTAGCAGACACCACTCAGTATTTTTTTATACATATAATATGTATATTATATATATATTAAATATAAATAAAAATAAGTATTTAACGTATTAAACAATTATGAATTATCATTATTTTCTCTCTCTTATATAAGCAAATACTGGTGTAACAATTCGGTAAACCTACCCCATAAAGGAGAATCCCATTCTTGTGTTTCTGTAATTAAAGAAGCTTTCCATAATCAGAACATAACTTTTTGTTGTTTGGGGCTTTTTTTGTTGTTGTTTTTAACACCAGATTTATCACTTTTTTTTTTTTTAAGATTTTACTCATTCATTTGACAGAGAGAGAGATCACAAGTAGGCAGAGAGGCAGGCAGAGGGAGAGAGCGGGGAAGCAGTCTCCCCGCTGAGCAGAGAGCCGGACACGGGACTCCATCCCAGGACCCTGGGATCATGACCCGAGCAGGAGGCAGAGGCCTTAACCCACTGAGCCACCCAGGTGTCCCAGATTTATCACTTTTTTAAAACAAGAGATTTTTCCCCAAAGTGAAGAATACAAAACAAATCCAGTGTCCATGCATTTCCACTGCAGTCTTTTTTTTTTTTTTTAAGATTTTATTTATTTATTTGAGAGAGAAAGAGAGATAACAAGTAGGCAAAGAGGCAGACAGAGGGGAGGGGGGAAGCAGGCTCCCACCAAGCAGAGAGCCCGATGCGGGGCTGGATCCCAGGACCCTGAGATCATGACCCAAGCCGAAGGCAGAGGCTTAACCCACTGAGCCACCCAGGCGCCCCTCCACTACAGTCTTGACACCTCCTTCACTCTCGGAGCAAGCTGGCTCCCTGGGAATCCGATGGTGGTATATGGGGTAAGAGTTCCTCTGGGCTGGGTTTCTCACTGTGCCTCCTCTGAGTTTTAGGGATGGATTCTGCAAGCTTTTTCATTGTGAGTGCGGTCCTTGTCACCTTCTCCCGTTGCCATGGAGACATGGCCAAAGTGGACTTAAGATGGCATGCTGGGTGTTCAATTGGTTAAGCATCAGCCTTCGGCTCAGGACGTGATCCCGGGGTCTTGGGATGGAGCCCCCTGTCAGGCTCCTTGCTTAGCGGGGAGCCTGCTTCTTTCTCTTCTTCAGCCTGCAACTCCCCTTGCTTGGGCTCTTTCTCTCTCTCTGTGGGTCAGATAAATAAAAAAATCTTAAACAAAACCAAAATGAACATAAAAAGCAGGTTGGGGATCCACTCTTCATCTGTCTCTGAGGATGACTGGTCACTGGTCAGCCTGACGGTGGCAGGGGTGGAGCAATGGTTGTGAATCTGCTCTGCCGCCTTGGGGTCAAGGTGCAGCTCCGGCAGTCGGAAGTAAACTGGATTTTCCAGGGGCTGTTGTCTTGTAGTCTGCATGGGTCAGGTGGTGGGAAGGCATTGTCTGAGGCTCAGGTCTGCTCCGGTCCAGCCTGGTGAACAGAGCTTTGGACACTGTACTACCAAAAACCAACTCAGCATTGTTTGTTGACAGATTTTTGTGTTTGTTTGTTTAAATCTCTTTTTTAAAGATTTTATTGATTCATTTGAGAGAGAAACAGAGAGAGCACAAGCAGGGGTAGAGGCAGAGGGAAAAATGACTCCCTGCTGAGCTGGGAGCCCAACGTGGGACTCATCCCAGGAGCTGGAGATCATGACCTGAGCAGAAGGCAGAGGCTTTAACCCACTGAGCCACCCAGGTGCCCCTGATTGGTTTTTCAAATGCATAAATCTCAACGAATGAGAACTGGGCAAATAAAGAAACAGGGAAACATGGCCAAATCAAAGGAACAACAAGAAAAACAAGAGAATAGTCAAAACAATCTTGAAAAATAAGCATAATTTTGCAAGACTTTTTGATTTTATTTTATTTTTTTAAATATTTTAAAATTTTATTATTTAAAATTTTTAAATTATTTTATTTATTTGACACAGAGAGAGAGAGAGAGAGAGAGAGAGAGCTCACACACAAGCAGGGTCAGGGAGAGAGGGAGAGGGAGAAGCAGGCTTCCCGTGAAGCAGAGAGTCCAATGCAGAGCTTGATCCCAGGATCCTGGGATCACGACCTGAGCCAAAGGCAGACGCTTAACTGACTAAGCCACGCAGGCTCCCCTAATTTCATTTAGAAGTATCTATCTCTATACCCACCATGGTACTCAAACTTATAACCCTAAGATCAAGAGTCACTCACTCTACCGACTGAGCCAGTCAAGCACCCCAAGACTTTCTGATTTTAAAATTTATTGTAAAGCTATAGTAATCAGTGGGATGCCTGGGTGGCTCAGTTGGTTAAGCACCAGCCTTTGGCTCAGGTCATGATTCCAGGGTGCTAGGATCAAGTCCCAAATTGGGCTCCTTGCTCAGTGGGGAGACTGCTTCTCCCTCTGCCTGCCAATCCCCCTGTTTGTGCTCTCTCTGTCAAATAAATAAATTTTTAAAAAGATTTTTTAAAAAGCGACAGTAATCAAGAGAATGTGTTACTGGTATAAAGACAGAGCTGTAGATCAGTGGGGCAGAATACAGTCCAGAAATAGAACCACACATGTATGGTAAACTGAATTTCCACAAAACTGAATCTCCACAAAGATGCCTCCACATGAGATGACCTTCTATGGTCACCTAAATCTCCACAAAGATGCAACTCAGTGGGGGAAAGGATTTTCTTTTTTCTTTTGTACTCTATATTTATTTATTTAGAAATATAGTTGACGCACAATGTTACATTAGTTTCAGGTGTACAACATAGTGATTCCACAAGACTATACATTATGCTCTGCTTACCACAAGTGTAGCTACCATCTCTCACCATGTAACTCTAACACCGTTGACTACATTCCTTATCTTATATCTTTTATCCCTATTACGTAATCATTCTGTAACTGAACGCTTGTATCTTCTAGTCCCCTTCATGCATTTTGCCTATTTTCCCACTGCCTTTCCCTCTGGCAACCAATGGTTTATTCCCTGAAGTTTTAGGTATGATATCATGATAACTTTAAAAAAAATTTTAATTCCAGTGTAGTTTACATATAGTGTTGTATTAGTTTCAGGTGTATGATATAGTGATTCAATAATTCTATACGTTGCTCACCATCATAAGGGTACTCTTATTCCCCTTCATCTATTTCACCCATCCCTGCACCCCCTTCCCCATAACCATCATTTTGTTTCTATAGTTCAGAGTCTGTTAGGTTTCTCTATTTTTTTGCTTTGTTTCTTTTGTTTCTTAAATTCCACATATGAGTGAAATTGCATGGTATCTGTCTTTCTCTGACTGATTTCACTTAACATTACATTCTCCATGTTGTTGCAAATGGCAAGATATCATTCTTTTTTATGGCTGAGTAATAGTCACATACATCTGTAGATGTAGGTATTGATATAGATATATACCACTTCTTTATCCATTCATCTATGGATGGACTCTTGGGCTGCTTCCGTTATTTGATTATTATAAATAATGCTGCAATAAACATAGAGGTGCCTATATCATTTTGAATTCGTGTTTTTGTATTCTTTGGGTAAATATCCAGTGGAATTACTGGATCAGATGGTAATTCTATTTTTAACTTTTTGGGGAAACTTCATGCTCTTTTCCACAGTGGCTGCACAAGTTTGTGTTCCTACCAATACTACAGGAGGGTTCTTTTTTCTCCATATCATGGCCAATGCTTGTTGTTTCTTATATTTTTGACGTTAGCCATTCTGACAGGTGTGAGGCGGTATTTCATTGTGGTATTGATTTACATTTCCCTTATGATTACTGATGTAGAGCATAAATTCATGTGTCTATTGGCCATCTATATGTCTTTGGAGAATGTCTGTTCATGTCTTCTGCCAATTTTTAAATTGGATTATTTGGGGGTTTTTTGGTATTACATTTTGTAAGTTCTTTATATATTTTGGACTCAAACCCTTTATCAGATATGTCGTTTGGAAGTATCTTCTCCCATTTAGTAGGTTTTCTCAGTTTTGGTTATTGCTCCCTTTGCTGTCAGAGCTTTTTATTTTAATGTAGTACCAGTAGCTTTTTTTTTTTTTAAGATTTTATTTATTTATTTGTCAGAGAGAGTGAGCACAGGCAGACAGAGTGGCAGGCAGAGGCAGAGGGAGAAGCAGGCTCCCCGCTGAGCAAGGAGCCAGATGTGGGACTCGATCCCGGGACGCTGGGATCATGACCCGAGCAGAAGGCAGCCACTTAACCAACTGAGCCACCCAGGCTTTCCCGAGTAGCTTATTTTTACTTCAGTTTTTCTCGTCTCAGGAGACATATTTATAAAAATGTTGCTATCATCAGTATCAGAGAAATTACTGCCTATGCTCTTCTAGGATATTTATGGTTTCAGATATCACATTTAGGTCCTTAATCCATTTTGACTATATTTATGTATCGTGTAGGAAAGTGGCCCAGTTTCATTTTTTTGCATCTAGCTCTCCAGTTTTCCAACACCATTGTTAAAGGGACCAGCTTTTTTCTATTGCATATTCTTCCCTCCTTTGTTGAAGCTTAGTTGACCATATAATTGTATGTTTATTTCTGGGCTCTTTATTCTACTCTATTGATTTATGTGTCTATTATTGTGCTGGTATCATACTGTTTGATTACTATAGCTTTGTAGTCTTAAAATCTGGAATTCTGATACCACCAGTTTTGTTCTTCTTTTTCAAGATTGCTTTGGCTATTCAGGGTCTTTTGTGATTCCATACAAATTTTAGGGTTATTTGTTCTAGTTCTGTGAAAAATGCTGTTGGTATTTTGATAGTAATTGGATTAAATGTCAACTGCTTTAGGTCATACGGACATTTTAACAATATTTGTTCTCCCTTTCCCCTGCCCCTCCCCACAGTTCCTGTTCTCTCACTCTCTTTTTCTCTCTCTAATAGATAAATAAAATATTTTTTAAAAACCCCAATATTTATTCCTCCAATCCATGTGCATGGAATATTTTTCCACTTGTTTGTATCATCTTCAATTTCTTTCATCAACATTTTATAGTTTTTAGAGTACGGGTCTTTCACCTCCTTGGTGAAGTTTATTCCTAAGTATTTTATTATTTTTGGTGCAATTGTAGATAGATTGTTTCCTTAATTTCACTTTCTGCTAATTCATTATTAGTGTATGGAAATGCAGTGTGTTTCTGTATATCAATTTTGTATCCTGTGACCTTACTGAATTTATTTATCAGTTCTAGTAGTTTTCTGATGAAGTCTTCAGGGGTTTCTATATATAGTATCATGTCATCTGCAAATAGTGAAAGGTTTACTACTTCCTTACCCATTTGGATGCCTTTTATTTCTTTTTCTTCTCTGATTGCTATGGCCCAGACTTCTAGTACTATGTTGAATAAAAATGGTGAGAGTGGACATCCTTGTCTTATTCCTGAGAGTGGGGGAAAGCTCTGAAGTTTCCCTACTGAGTACAGTGTATGCTGTGGGTTTTTCAGATATGGCCTTTATTATGTTGAGGTATGTTTCCTTTAAACCTAATGTGTTGAGGTGTTGTGGTTGTTGTTGTTGTTTTTTAAGATTTATTTACTTACTTTAGCAGGGGGCAGGTAAGAGGGACAGAAGGCAGAAGGAGAGGAAAAGAGAGAATCTTATAAGAGACTCCCCACTGGGTGAGAAGCCCAATGCAGGGCTCAATCCTATGACACTGAGATCATGACATGAGCTGAAATCAAGAGTCCATGCTTTTAACTGACTGAGCCCCCCAGGCACCCCTGTTGAGGGTTTTTATCATGAATGGATGTTGTACTTTGTCAAATGCTTTTTCTATATCTATTGAAATGATATATGGGTTTTTTTTAATTTTTTTTTTATTTATTTGACAGAGAGAGAGAGATCACAAGTGGGCAGAGAGGCACGCAGAGAGAGAGAGGGGAAGCAGGCTCCCTGCTGAGCAGAGAGCCCGATGTGGGCCTCGATCCCAGGACCCTGAGACCATGACCCGAGCCGAAGGCAGAGGCTCAACCCACTGAGCCACCCAGGTGCCTAATATATGGTTTTTATTCTTTCTCTTGTTGAAGTGATGTATCGTGTTGATTGGTTTGCAAATATAGAACCATCCTTGCATCCCAGGAATAAATCTCATTTGATCATGGTGAATGATTATTTAAATGTATTGTTGGATTCAGTTTGCTAGTATTTTCTTGAGGATTTTTGCATCTATGTTCATGATAGAAATCAGCGTGTAGTTCTCTCTTTTTGTGGTGTCTTTATCTGGTTTTGGAATCAGAAAATATTAGCCTCATAGAATAAATTTGGAAGCTTTACCTTCCTCTTCTATGTTTTTGGAATAGTTTGAGAAGAATAGATATTAACGCCCCCTTTAAATATTTGGTAGAATTTACCTGTAAATCTATCTGGCTCTGGACTTTTGTTGTTGAGAATTTTTAAATTGCTGATTCAACTTCGTTGCCAATAATGAGTCTGTCCAAATTTTCTATTTCTTTCTGATTCAGTTTTGGGAGGTTATATGTATTTAGGAGTTGATTCATTTCTTCTAGGTTGTCCACTTGGTTGGCATATAATTTGTCATAACATACTTTTACAATCCATTGCACTTCTGTGGTGTTGGTTGTTATTTCTCCTGTCTCATATCTGATTTTGATGCGGGTCTCGATCCCAGGACCCTGGGATCATGACCTGAGCTGAAGGCAGAGGCTTTAACCCACTGAGCCACCCAGACGCCCCTGTTTTGTTTTTTAAGTACACTTTGTACTGGGCATGGAGACTGATGTGGGGCTTGAACTCACAACCCTGAGATTAAGACCTGAGCTGAAATCAAGAGTTAGACACTTAACCAACTGAACCATCCAGGTGCCCCTATAGTCTTTGTTTTAGAGTCTATTTTGCCTGATATAAATATTGCTACCCCAGCATTGTTTTCAATTCCATTCACATGATAAATGATTTTTCATCCTTTCACTTTTTTTAAATTAATTATTTTTATTAACATATAATATATTATTTGCCCCAGGAGTACAGGTCTGTCAATCGTAAAGCTTACACATTTCACAGCACTCACCATACCCCATACCCTCCCAACCTTTCACTTTTAATCTACATTTGTCTTTAGGTCTGAAATTAGTCTCTTGTAGGCAGCATATAGATGGGTCTTGTTTTTTGTTTGTTTTTTTAAAAGATTTTATTTATTTATTTGACACAGAGAGACAGCCAAAGAGGGAACACAAGCAAGCAGAGTGGGAGAGGGAGAAGCCGGCCTCCATCCGAGCAGGGAGCCTGATGCAGGGCTCGATCCCCAGGACCCTGGGATCATGACCTGAGTTGAAGGCAGATGCTTAACAACTGAGCCACCCAGGTGCCCCAATGGGTTTTGTTTTTTCAATCTATTCTGTCAACCTGGGTCTTTTCATTGGATCTTTTAGTCCATTTAACATTCAGAGTAATTATTGATAAGTATGTACCTATATAATGTTGTTGCTTGTTTTATGATTATTTTTGTAGTTCTCTGTATTTTTTTTTTCCTTCTCTTGCTCTCTCTTGGTTTACTGGCTTCTTCTCATATACTTGGATTTCTTTATATTTTTGCATGTCTATTACTAGTTTTTGATTGCCATTAGTTCTATATATATATATAACATTTTATGAATATAGCATATAACAATTTAATCCATATTAAGTTGATGATTGCTCAAGTCTAAACTGTCTTTACTGCTTTCCTTGCCACGTTTTAGGTATATGGTGTCATACTTTATATCCTTTTAATTTGTGAATCCCTTAACACATTTTTATAGATATACATAATTTAACTGTTTCTGTGTTTCCCACTATTCTCACTCCTACTTTTGATCTTTCCTTTGCACTCAAAGAGTCCCCTTTAAAATTTCTCATAGGACTGGTTTATTGGTCATGAATTCTTTTGCTTTTGTTCATCTGGGAAACTCTTTATCTCTCCTTCTGTTGTGAATGGTAGCCTTGCTGGATAGAGTGTTCTTGGCTGCAGGTGTTTTTCTTTCAGCACTTTGAATATGTCGTGCCACACAGTCCTGTCCCGCAAAGTTTCTGCTGAAAAGTCAGCTAAAAGCCTTAGGCAGTTTCCTTTCTATGCAACTGTTTTCTTTCTCTTGGTGCTGTTAAAATTCTCTCCTTATCACTAGTTTTTTGCCATTTAAAAAAAAGATTTATTTATTTATTTATTTTATAGAGAGTGAGAGAGCACACGTAGGCGGAGCCACAGAGGGAGAGGGAGAAGTGGTCTCTCCCTGAGCAGAGAGCCCAATGTGGGACTTGTTCCCAGGATCCTGAGATCATGACCTGACCCAAAGGCAGACACTTACTCAACTGAGCCATCCAGGCACCCCAACTTTTTGCAATTTTAATTACTGTGTGTCTTATTGTGGACGTCCTTGGGTCGATTTTGTTGAGGGAACTTTATGCCTTCTGTATCTGGACTTCTGTTTTCTTCCCCAAGTTTGGGAAGTTTTCAGCTATTATTTCTTCAAATAAATTTTCTGTACACCTTTTTCTCTTTTCTCCTTCTGGGATCCCATAATGTGAATGTTACTATGCTGATATGGTCACTAAGTTTCCTTAGTCTATTTTCATTTATCATTATTATTTTTCCCTTCTGTTCAGCTTGATTGCTTTCTGTTACTCTGTCCTCCAGGTGACCTACGTCTTCTGCTCTTGAAAGTACTGGACTTATGAAAAAGAGGTCCTGTAATGCCTGGCAGTGCAGTGTCCCCTGGTCAGACAATATTTCAGGGGTGTCTCCTATGTGCATTGTCAAGACACCCCTGCTAAAGTAGCTGAGCTGCTTTTGCTTTCAGTCCAGTCATCTGCAGTGGCTCTTATTGCCTATTGTGGGCAGGAGTTGGTCCCTGTGTTGTTAGTGGGCTAGTCTGGGGCTGCTTTGGGCTAAAGTTGCGTCAGACTCGGCCTTTGCCAGAGTTGCAGTAGCACTGAACTGCAGGTAAATGTGAGCATGGGGTGTGTGGTGTCAGTACCATAGGCTGCAGTGGAAGAGAAACTGCAGTTGCCAGGGACGTGGGTAGGCCAGGTTGGAGGGGATGGATCCATAGGAGAACGTGGAGGGTAGGGCTCACTGTTAGCAAGTTAGGTAGGAGTATTGGTACCAGGCTGGTTCCAGCAGGTGTCCATGTGCTTATGCGAGAGTGGAGGAGGCAGGAAAAGTGAATGGCACCTGCCAGCTCTTTTGTTTCTAAAGAAGTCTCCCAACGATCCCTGCCTATCCAGCAGAGAGTCTGAGATTAGTAAATACACCTCCTTCCTATATACCCCATGCATTTTTTGAAGTGCTGCTTTTATGCTGTGCCTCTGCAGGCTGTTGTTGTGTTCTCTCCTTAAGGGCAAGGACTCAGTCCCTCTCCCCATCCTGGCTCTCTCATGAGCCCAGTGATTTTTCAAGTTCCAGCTATTAAGCCCTGCTGATTTGTAAGAACTTGTGAAATTCAGCCCCTTTGGCTTTCAAAGCCAAATGTTTTGGGGATTCACATTCCCCATGTGGGCTTCCTGATGTTAGAGACTGTCCCCCACCCCCACTCTGTGCCCGTGGCTCCCTTTCTCCCACAGACAGTCCCACAGGTTCATTTAGCTCCCCACCCCATCTCTGCCCTTCCTATCCTCTTCCATATGGCTTCTTCTCTATGTAGCTGTAGAGAGTCTATTCTACTACTCTTCAGCTTGTTTTCTGGGTTATTTACACTGGTGTGTTATCTAGTCATATCCATGGAATGAGGTGAGCTTAGGGTCTTCCTACTCTGCCATCTTCCCGAGAAGTCCCCATGATAACTTTTGAAGATTGAAAATGTGCCTGTATTCAGTTTGTTGCTTCTCAGCTTCAAATACTGCCTTTATTGACTGAAAATTCAGATTGGTCCTTTAAAATGTAACTTTTATGCACAGCTGCAGATTGCTAAGCTTTGCCAGTAGAGAGTACTTGGAGAGATGGGAGAAAGGAGCTTTCCATCTAGTTGAGGCGTGGTTGCCCAGCAAGTTCCTGTGTTGCACAATGTTTCTTTAGCATCCAGCTCCTACAGTGCTGCAGGGTAAGCAGCAGCAGCTTTCCCTGGTAACTATATAGGATGATTTTTCAGTGAAGGGTCTTCCATAAGCCATCTCTCTCTCTCTTTTTAAAACATATAATATATTGTTGGTTTCAAGGGTACAGGTCTGTGATTCATCAGTCTTACACAATACACAGTGCTCGCCATAGCATATACTGTTCACAATGTTGATCACCCAACCACCCCATTCCTCCCACCCCCCTCCACTCCAGCAATCCTCAGTTTGTTTCCTAAGATTAAGAATCTCTCATGGTTTGTCTCCCTCTCTGGTTTTGTCTTGTTTCATTTTTTCCTCTCTTCCCCCATGATCCTCTGCCTTGTTTCTCAAATTCCACATATCAGTGAGATCATATAATAATCGTCTTTCTCTGATTGACTTATTTCTCTTAGCTAATTACTCTCTAGTTCCATCCACATCATTGCAAATGACAAAATTTCATTTTTTTTAAAAGATTTTATTTATTTATTTGTCAGAGAGATAGAGAGAGTACAGACAGGCAGAGTGGCAGGCAGAGGCAGAGGGAGAAGCAGTCTCCCTGTGGAGCAAGGAGCCGGATGTGGAACTTGATCCAGGACGCTGGGATCATGACCTGAGCTGAAGGCAGCCGCTTAACCAACTGAACCACCCAGGCATCTCAAGATTTCTTTTTTTGATGGCCGCATAGTATTCCATTGTGTGTGTGTGTGTGTGTGTGTGTGTGTGTGTGTGTGTGTTTGTGTACACACACACACACACACACACCACATCTTCTTTATCCATTCATCTGTTGATGGACATCTAGGCTCTTTCCATAGTTCAGCTATTGTGGACATTGCTTTTATAAACATCAGGGTGCATGTGCCCTGTTGGATCACTACACTTGTATCTTTGGGGTAAACACCCAGTAGGGCAATTGTTGGGTCATAGGGTAGCTCTATTTTCAACTTTTTGAGGAACCTCCATACTGTTTTCCAGAGTGGCTGCACCAGCTTGCATTCCCACCAACAGTGTAGGAAGGTTCCCCTTTCTCCGCATCCTCGCCAACATCTGTCATTTCCTGACTTGTTAATTTTAGCCATTCTGACTGGTGTGAGGTGGTATCTCATTGTGGTTTTGATTTGTATTTCCCTGAAGCCAAGTGATGTTGAGGACTGTTTCATGTGTCTGTTGGCCATTTGGGTGTCTTCTTTGCAGAAATGTCTGTTTATGTCTTCTGCCCATTTCTGATTAGATTATTTGTTGATTGGGTATTGAGTTTGGTAAGTTCTTTATAGCTTTTGGATACTAGCCCTTTATCTGATGTGTCATTTGCAAAGATCTTCTCCCATTCTGTTGGTTGTCTTTTGGTTTTGTTGATTGTTTTCTTTGTTGTGCAAAAGCTTTTGATCTTGATGAAGTCCCAGTAATTCATCTTTGCCCTTATTTCCCTTGCCTTTGGCAATGTATCTAGGAAGAAGCTGCTGCAGCTGAGGTTGAAGAGGTTGCTGCCTGTGTTCTTCTCAAGAATTTTGGTGGATTCCTGTCTCCCATTCGGGTCTTTCATCCATTTTGAGTCATTTTTTGAGTGTGGTGTAAGGAAATGGTCCAGTTTCATTCTTCTGCATGTGACTGTCCAATATTTCCACCACCATTTGTTGAAGAGACACCATGCCTCTTTCTGAACAGGCTTCCTGGGCAGGGTGCTTTCTAGTAAGTCTCTAGCAGAATGACTTTTCTTATACTCAGGAACCACAGGAGTCATTCTCTCCAGAAAGGTCTGCTTTTCTCTGGGACTTTTCCTCAGGTTCTCTGTCTCAGCCATAGGAATTTTGGCAATTCTATTTATCTGCTTATATGTCCTTGTATATTTACTTTCCAGTAGTCAGTCCCTATTGCTCCACTCCCCTGTAATAGTTAATAATTTTTGTATTATAGTTTCCTTGTTTAAATTCCCTTCTGGTTTCTGTCTCCTGATTGGACCTAATTGATACAAATATAAAACATATATTCTCTATCTCTTAATTCTTAGCATATGGTACAAATATATATGATAGCCCCCACCTTAATGATCTCCACTTGGCTTTATGACTTTTTAAGCTAATTATATTTTATATATCATATTTAATTCTATTTTTAAAAGATTTTATTTATTTATTAGGAGAGAGAGCGTGTGCAAGCAGGGGGAACAGCAGGCAGAGGGAGAAGCAGGCTCCCCACTGAGCAAGGGGCGTGATGTGTGACTCAATCCCAGGCCCCAGGATCATGACCTGAGCCAAAGACAGATATCTAAATGACTGAGCCATGCAGGCATCCCTATCATATTGCATTCTAAATAAAAGGCTAATGCCAATTCATTCCTTCATTTAATTAAGGACCTTCTATGTCTCAGTTTCCATTGCAAGGGCCTATAGATACAATAGCAGATAAAAAAAAAAAAATCCAGCAAAAATCACTGTTCTCATAGAGCTTGCATTCTAATGGGGAACCAAAGCTAGGTAAATGATTAAAATATGTAGCATGTTAAATAGTGGTAAGTTCTAAGGATAGAAATAAAGTGGGAAAGGGGATATGGAATTTTAGGGAGGAGTTAGTTGAAATAAAAGGCCCAGGAAGACTTTATTGAAATTGTGACTTTTGAATAAAGATCTGAAGGCATGATTGAGTAGGCCAAGTGGCTATCTGGGAAGAGTGTTCCAGGCAGAGGAAACAACATGGATAAAGTCCCTAAGTAAAGAGTATGCTAGTGTGTCAAAGTGTAGTAAGGACACCAGTGTGACTGGGCCACAAATAATGGTGTTGGAGGGAGTGAGGGAAGAAATAGGAGATAAGCTGAGAGAAGTTAGAATACAGGGTGAGATGATGATGGGTCTTCTAGATCATAGGATTGAATTTGGCTTTTCAACATTGTCATAAATATACTGTTATTTTAAGAGTTCTTGTTTGTGCTTGCAAAATATTGATTACAAAAGTACTTGGTATTTTAGAATAGAAAAACAAAAAGAACCCTTTAAGATTGTTTTGTAAGTGATCCCCGTTCACTGCAACAAGGGTAGAATTTCAGAAAACAATGTGAAAAGTAGTTTTTGCACTATGTTTTACATGTAATTTTAATTTAAATGAACATCTTGATTCAATTAAATCTAATACTGTGTAACTTTTTCTTTGGCATCATGAGAATCACTGTGAGGTTACTGAGCCTTAGGCAGTAATAGTCCTATTTATAATTGTTTGGCTGTCAACTAAGTGTTCAAAAAAATTTTGTTGTTGTTGTTGTATTTTATAAATACTGTTAAGAATGTGGTTCTTCCAGTGGTGGCCCTAGAGCCAGGGAGTTTGCTTTTATACATTTAGGGTCTACAGAATGTGATCTCTTCTAGTGGTTTTCTTCACTGGGTGTTTGTTCAAGAGTAAATTAAATGGCTGTGAATATACGTTTTAGAAATTTTTTTACTATTTTTTAAAAGATTTTATTTATTTATTTGAGAGAGAAAAAACAAGAAACAGGGCACAGGCAGAGGGAGAGGGGCACAGAGAAGTAGAAGTAGACTCCCCGCTGAGCAGGGAGCCTGATGTGGGGCTAGATCTCAGGACCCTGGGATAATGACCTGAGCGGGAGGAAGATCCTTAACCAACTGAGCTACCCAGGTGCCCCTGTTTTAGAAATTTTAAAAGCAACATAAAACATGAAAATAACCTGCCTTCTCACTAAGAGCCAGGAAAAAAAAAATTGAGAGAGACAAGTTGTAAAGTACATTTCTAAAAAAATTCCTTTTCAAAAAATGTTTTTTCCAAAACTTGAACTTGAATGTCATATTAAATAAAATGCTGAATATAGGGCACCTGGATGACTCAGTGAGTTAAGTGCCTGCCTTCAGCTTAGGTCATGATCCATGAGTCCTGGGATCAAGCCACAGCATCAGGCTCCCTGCTCAGTGGGGAGTCTGCTTCTCCCTCTCTCTCTGCCTCCTCCCCCATGCTCATGCTCTGTCTCTCTCTCTTTCAATTAAATAAATAAAATCTTTTTAAAAAAATACTGAATATATAGATATATGAACATCAGTACATTTGTTTTATTTTCAGAGAATGATATTGATAAAAAGATCACATTAAATTGAAAGTAAGCATTATTTTTTAAAAAAGGAACCTCCCAAAGCCACACATAAACATCACAAAGAAAAAAAAATTGAGAAATATTTATTTAATATTAATAATTATACCTGAGCATTTATTAAATTAAAAACATTCAGATAAAGTAAATTACTAAAACATAAGGAATACTAAATCAGACATGCAAAAGAATGCTAAATTGAATAAAGAAAATCAAGTTTAAAAAAATGGTTTACAAAGTCATTTAGGAATTTACTCAAAAAAAAAAAGTTATCTATACATATTGTAATTCTTCCCATCCAGTTATTTTTGTAGAACTCAGAATATAACCATAATGTATCTTAAACCTCAGAAGGAAGGTTTGTAAATGATTCAGTTGAATCTCCAGAAGTCATTATAACCTGTCTTTGACCCTGTGTATCCTCCTTTCACTATTTTATTGAGATACAGGAGAATCTAGGTCAGTGGTAATAGATGGCATTTAATATCATTCTAAATATTTCACACATCTGGGGCACCTAGGTGGTTCAGTTGTTGACTGTCTGCCTTCAGCTCAGGTCATGATCCCGGGGTCCTAGGATTGAGTCCCACATTGGGCTCCCTGCTCAGTGGGGAGCCTGCTTCTCCCTCTCCCA